CCCCAAAACCCCAAAACCCCAAAACCCCATTGCGCTTTTTTAGCTCAAGAATGATACAACTAATACTTTTAAATATAAATTAGATGATATATTAAGGAATTAGGAAAATATAGTCAATTCAATTATATGACTAATTAAGCTGTCTTATTAAGCTTCCTTGTTAACTCACACTTAATCTATTCTAAGTCTATTAGTTTTTATTGTCTTGTATTTTTCTCTCAAATATTTATCTATACTCTCTTGTCGATGATCCGTTAAGTTAGTTCTATGCTAGTAATTTAGTCTTACTTTCAGCTATCTTGAACTCTTATCTTTCTTTCATTCTGGCAACTCTAATATTTTTCATGATTTACAGTTCATTCTCAGTTTTCTTAATCATATCTTATTCAAATTTTTGTCTTGACTTGTACTCCTATAATTTTAAGTTATAATTAATGAGAAAACTTACTATTTAAGACTCCTTGTTAGATATAATTATATTGTGTTTTAATTTAGCAATATTTTCAGTTACTAATTTTCTAGGTTCATAGTATTTAGACCTAACATCATGTCTGAACTCCTTCCATCTTTGCTTGACTACTTACGTTTAATACTACCAGTGCTTGAAGCCTTTAACTAGAGGCCATTTTGCAAATCTTTAGACGAATTTCCACAAGAGCTCTTACTTTCTCTTCTCCTATTTGTCTACACATAAAGCTTGAATTCTTAATTCCATAAGTTTATAGCTTGCCTACTCTTTAAGTTCCTTTGATTTGAGTTTGTCTATTTGGTGTTTATCATATGGTCCAGCAGCATTCTTTGAATCATACACACCGAAATAGCTATGATCAGACATTTTTCCATCATTTGTAAAGGAATGATTCATATTACTATCTAGAAAATCAACGCCCTAAGGTTTGAAGAAGGAGTTGTTCATAAAAGTTGTTTCCGAATAATCGCTAATGGTTTGAGAGGTTTTTCTTTTTTCTGATTTGTATGAATTTCTCAAATTTATATTTAATTACTCAGTTGGGACCCATCCTATAATAGGAGGCTTGTTATGAAATTCATATATGACCTCTGTCCATCTCCCATCTTAATCTTTACCTTTAACTTTTAAAGGTGTATTAGCTAAAAGTTGAATTAGTGCCTTAGATCCCCATTTAGGTTCTTGCCTTATCATTATGTTTTACATTGAAGTAGTAATTTCATTTTTCTACTTGTTCTAAGCATAAGATTTGTCAAAGGATTTGTATACATTTCTATCAGGAATAAAGTCTATGTTTGAAGCCAGTATCCATCCTATCATATTTGCATTTTTCACTTAAACCCAAGTTTAGTCTATTGTTCTATTTAATACATTGACAACACCATCTTTTTCAAGTCTTCCAAGTTTATCATGATTATTCCCTGGCCCATTAAAAACATTGCAACCAAGACATCTTGCTTAACTTGGACCTTTAAATTAGGGATCCAATTTAAAACCCTATAGTTAACTTATGTATTTTTTTGCCTTGTCAAGTTATTTACTAGGTGATCTTAGCAAAAAGTTGTTTTTCTAGGGAGAAGGAGATTTAGGAGACTCGTGTGAAAACTCTTAAGGTATATAAACATTCTCAATGTTGCTTGAGGAGTCTTCCAAAAATTTTTGAATCATATATTCATGTTTGTTCGCTGTTGTATATGATGATGATGGTCTTTTAGTCTAAGTAATATTATTGATTGCATTTGGACTCTTGTACTATTTTGGGCTGAAAATTAATGGAGTTATATTTCCATGTTAGAAAGGAGAACTCATATCCATAAATCCATAATTAATTTCAGATATGTGATCATGTCTGTTAGTTTTGGTGGATAGTTTAGTTTTATTTTCACTAAGATATTGATCTTGCTTTATCTCATTAGAAGTTTTACTCTCACCTTTTTTAATGGCTGTTTAAGGTCTTCCTGTATTAGATTGTCTTGTTTTTTTCTAAATCAATTGCTAAAGCGATAGGTTTCCATTAATATTGTTGAGCAAAGTATCATCATAGTCTCCTATCATTATCGCTGATTATTTTCCATTATTTGATAAATTACTATTGCTTTGATTATATTTAAATGGAGTTATAACAACTGATCTATTTCCCTCATTCTCATCATTACCTAAACCGTTTCCACCAAAATTAAAATCTCAGTTGTTAAACTACTTATGAGCAGGCTGGGACAAGATTTATTATCTCTTATTTATATTATTACTTAAAGATCTATAAGAAATACCTTTACCCTCTGCTGTTTTAGTCTATCTAAGATTGCTTATACCATTCTAACTATTTAAATAATCACCGATTTAATCTACATTCTATTACTTTTTTGGTATTACTGCATTAATAATTATTTAGTTCATTGTTCGTAGGAAATCTTCTCTGTCTAAGAATTTACCTTTAGTTACTCTGAAGGCAGCAATCATCTGATTGAATTCTCCTAGCGGAATTTGATATCCGATTGAGTATAATCCCTTAAATAGTTAATCTATCTTGATATATTCTCTGTATCTTTAGTTAGTTTCAGTAGTATTAAATGTCTTAACACTAGGACTGACTAATCTTCTTTAAGATTAATTGGTGGAGTAATTTCGATTAAGTGACAGTTCTTGAGAGTTATTTATTTGGCATAGCACAAAGAAATTGCTCAGGGTAAATTCCATTTCAAATATCCTCTTTTTAACATTCATTAGTGTTATTTTAATTTCATCGTGCTTGAGAAATCTATTAATATAAGGGCGGATAACTTAATCAAACTTCTTTGCTAATAACTTCTTCGGTTATTTTTTCTATTTCAATCTCTCAATGACTTAATTAATCTATAGTAAAGACCTCAGCAAAATTTAAGCTTACAATATACTCTGAAGTAATTACCTAATTCTTCATCATGAAATCTTTAAACTATTGGCAATCAATCTATCCTTCTTGATCTCTTTACTATATTAGGTCAACAAGTTCAAATGACTTTAGCCTTTAAGATCTTCCAAATATCATATAGCTTGCTATCTACTCTAATCCTTTGTCTTCTATTTCCTAAATTATAGAAATTTAAGATTTCTGAAATACATTGGGTGACTATTCCGGCTGTTTAATGCATTGAGACTGTAATGCTGTTAAATCTCTTTATTGTACTGCTTTCTAAACTATCATCACTTTCTGCAAGTTTTCCTAAAACATATATTTTACGAAAGCAAAAATAAGTACTTTTATTTTATCAGTCATTATTACAACAATGCAATGCCCAGCAGCATTATGAGGTGAGTAAGCAATACCAATGACCTTATTATCTACTTTCATTAAAGAGTTAAGAGTGCTTGGTAAGCTCAAAATTTTAGATAAAATGCTAAGTGGCTCATCTAATTCGTAAATAAAGATCTCTTCCAAGTCTTTAAAGCTCTTCTTATCAACACAGTGTTTCTTCACGAATTTATAGCTTAGCTTATCTTTATTCTGTAATTATGTCTATTTTTAATGAGTATTTGCTACTATTGATAAATGACCTAATTCACATGCCAGATCTCAAGCAGCTTGAGATAAACAATAAGATGGATTTATAGAAGAGAACCCCTAGTTATCTTCAATTGTCTTTGTAAATAGCGGGAGTGCTTTATAAATAGCCTAATTTTCATGTCTGTATTTATCTATACATTTAATTATGATAAGTAAGAATAATGAAGACGTGATTTTATAAAATGGTTACATTTTTGAATAATATTCTCATGTTGCCCATCTCAGATTACTTTCTCCAAGAAAGCTTTTCTATCCTTTAATTTTTGCAATATTCTTTTAGGATCATCTCTGCATAACTTTATCAACTCATATAACTTCTCTTCCTAATAATATTATTTCTGCTAAACTTTACCAATGAGTCTTTATTGAGAACATCTTGCATAGATACTTGTTAAAAAGTAGGTTTTTGAATTAAATCCATTTATGACTGCTACTATATTAGCTCAACAGATGGGATCTGATTCATTTATTATTTTATTTGATTTAATCAGCTTCTTTAATTTGTAATAATTTTCTGCTTTTGCGAGATTACTACTCTAATTCTCTAACGGGGTTTTGGGGTTTTGGGGTTTTGGGG